ACAGTGTTTCTTTCAAATTCTGTCAAGGAAAACTTTTCCTGGGATCAGCTGATTTCTTGATTTTTCACTTCACACTCATGTCGTTGAGTGTCGTTGAAAACTGAAACACACTCTACAAAGTCTTCTAAAAATTGGTATTTCCTCGTTTTTTTGTCAAAGTCCAAGTTGCACGCCTGATAAATGCAAGTGTCCACTGCATCAGTGCATTCCAAGCTGCGGTAGACACTACATGTGCATGTACCGAACATGTATGGCCATGGTTGGTTAAATGAACAGTCGGCAAAAAGCTGAACTCGAAACACAGCAGAAATCCGTACATGTCACTTGTGTTGCAAAGCCAAGTTGCAAGGGTCATGCTGTTTGGTATTAACAAGCGTCAGCGACCATCACCAAAGCCTCGACAAGTTATTCAGGCACATTTATGCCAATTTCTTTTTTTAATTTGCAATATTTATTAGGCTCCTGCATGTCCTATTCAATGTATCGTATCTATCTGAAATGATACTCGAGAGTTTAAATTGAGTGACCGGCCGCCATCTTATTTTCACGTGGACGGCAGAGTAAAGAAAGATGGCAGCCTCCATACATTGCGAACAATTTTCAGTTTTCTGCAAAAATCTGGAGGTAAATTCGATGTTTCTCTTACACAGCAGCAAGTCTTAGACTCTCTAAAATATGATAAAAACCACTTTTAAATCTTTAGAGAGTATTTTCAAGTTGTTGACGCTTTGTTGATGCTTCTTGTGTATTCTGAGGCTTGTTGACGCTAAATAGCATTGCAAAGCTAGTGTGGACAGTAAATTGTGTTTATGTTCTCTGTTACGCAGTTAACCCCATTGAAAATGCTTATTTTTTCTTGAACTGTGAACACTTTGATTTATCAGTTGGATTTTTTGTTAGTATTTCCATGACTTGTTCCTATTCCTGTTTGCTCTCGATAAACCCAAAATGTTTTTTTGGGGGGGGGACCATTGTGTGGACTTGATGTCCACAGGTCTTCACTGTCTGCACTGTGTGGACATCTCTGTTCTCAAATCCAAAGAATAAATAAAACATGCTTTGAACAGTTAAGTTTTCTTGTTTA